GTTGGCAGCAGCCCTTCTTGTCATAACTAATGTGTCGGGTTTCACAAGAAGATCAACGTGTCTGCCGTGATGCCAAGTGGAAGTCCTGGAAAAAGGCACTCTGTCCTAGTGCTTTCTACTGTATTTGTTCCTAAGTTTCAAGTTACTTTCTTTACAAGTGCTTGAGCATATGAAATGGCTTGACCTGTCCATTTTATTGCTGGATCTCTCCAGTAATTTTACTGTTGGAGTAGAACAGTATATGTGCATTTAAACTGTAAATAAAGAATTTTTGACTAAGTTTTCTTTACTCATTTAAAGATCATAGGAGTTGGTACAGCTGAAGCCATTTTACCTCGCATGTAAAGGTAAATACCTTGTTCAGCATTTTAACTTGCATTCATCTTTAAAACAATTTAATCTCACCTGTTTGGACACACAAAGTGTTTCAGCATTCTTCTACTTGAGTCTGTAAAAAAAATAGCTAATAGGATGTTAGATCTATGTCAGTCATAAGCTGTAGGTTGCAGCAGTGACTAGGTCAATTAGTTCTGGCTGGTGATGTCAAGGTAGTGGGGGCAAAATATTTTTTTTCCTTGGTTTCGCAGAAAGGTTAGTATGGCTGTTAACCTATGCCACAACCCTAGCCTGTTAAAGCTATGCTGCCCACTAGACAGATGTCTCAACTTAGATTCTGAATTCATTCTAATCATATGAAAGACTAAAGAGCTGTATTATGAAAATTAGCATTTAGCTATTATGAAATACTGAGAAGACCCTGCATGTTTATGTGCCAACTGTGCACAAAGTTCCTCAGCTAGAATTTAAGGCCCAATGCTGCTTCACAAAGATAGATCAAGACTCCATTTTATGTTAGTTTTCACCATCTACTACCACTTGCCATTATCTGTAGCTTTTTGTTTAAGATAAGATAACCTTGGTCAGGGAGTCACTACAAGAATCCAAATATTCTCCTATTATTCAAGTGGTTGATGCAAATGTGGTGCAGCATTTGAAGTCTGCGTTGCTTCAGCCATAGTCTTGTGATTACAAGATTTAGTTCAACTTCAATGCACAAAGAATGCACGTGGACAAACTCAGGTCAACTGAGGTAAACATTCTGAACCAAGATAAAAATTCCAGGTATGTTTTTGAAGTATATCTCACTCTGCTAGCCAAACAGGCTGGCTTCATGTTACCTTTTGCTGCACCAAAATTCAGTATCAAAGTGTCCTGATGTTAGGCTTACGGCTTTGGAATTACAAATACTGCTAATTAGCATCGGTCTGTATTGCAACACTACTACTTTTTATTTGTTTTTATTCTCAATGCACAAAGAATGCACGTGGACAAACTCAGGTCAACTGAGGTAAACATTCTGAACCAAGATAAAAATTCCAGGTATGTTTTTGAAGTATATCTCACTCTGCTAGCCAAACAGGCTGGCTTCATGTTACCTTTTGCTGCACCAAAATTCAGTATCAAAGTGTCCTGATGTTAGGCTTACGGCTTTGGAATTACAAATACTGCTAATTAGCATCGGTCTGTATTGCAACACTACTACTTTTATTTGTTTTTATTCTTATTTTCTCTCCCTGCTGCTTAGCTTTCAAGATATAGTTGCTGCCACAGAACTTTACTTCTGCAATAGAAGAAAAAAATAAAGTCATTTCTGTGAGTTTTTGGATGGTCATTTTCTAGTGAACAGCACTGAAATTTAGAAAGGGAATTTTCTGACTGCTGAGGTAACGCTGCTAATGTGTGTTCACTGAAACCGTTCAGAAACAAATGCTTACAAGCTTCAAACCGAACATTTTAATTTTGGAAGTTTCATAAAGCCTGCCAGAAGTTGACCAAGTACTAACAAGCTAACAGGAAAGAACTGTCAAATGTTAATCAAATCTTCAGTGCCGAGGTCCTTTGTTGATTAAATCCTTGCCACAGTCAGATAACCACATTTGCACGTAGCATACGGAATAAAATACTTATCTTTAAGGGAGAAAGGTTGGTTCAGTCTTTAAATAATGTAGCGCAACTTTATTCATTTTTCTACTAAGAATGACAAATTAGGTAGGTTGTTGTGACCAGTTGTCTTCTGGGGTAAGAACTGAGATAGCACAGCAAATCACTTCATGCAAACATCCATCAGAATTAAGCTGGAAATGACTTGTGGTCTTTTGAGGCAAAGTGGTTTTCAGTCTAACTTAAAAATGCATTACTTCACCGCCTGGTTCTGCAGAAATCTGATTTGATCCATTAGCTCTTACCATTTTAATACCAATTCTGAAGAAGGATCAGTATTGACGCATAGCTTGTGTGCCTGAAATGAGTAGGCAATCATTATCCAATGAAAACATGCCCCGAAAATATGCCACAGTTTAGGGAGGGTGATGTGAGGGCACGATTTATGTGGGAATCCAACTGCAAGTAAGTACATTTTCAGTGTTTCTGAAAGACCACTAGAAACAGTTTTCACGTTTTTTCCAGTTCCATCTCTTCTGTTTTGTTGTCATAATTGCTTTATCCTCCCTCCTGTTTCTTGTAATGGCTTTGAAATCTTAGTTGGATTTGATTTCTAACTTCTTTTCTTCATTTGCGTCCATCTCTGTTAAAACACAGTAACAGAGCAGCTGCATGTTTCGTGTGACTGCACCTGCATAGGAAATTGAAGATAAATCAGAAGAATAGCCACCTATCTCAACGCTAATTACACAACAGGCATCTGACTAATGAAAGTTAGTTGTCAAGAATACTGCCTCACCTCTCTTAAGGGAAACAAGCAATAAAAGTTAATACAGAAAGTGTCTTCCACTCAATTTTTTTAAACAGATAATGTTTTAAATTGTTCTGTTGATATCCTAGGGTGTTTTTCTTCTTAGGCACCCCACCAAGTAATGGAAGTAAAATCTTTTTTCTCTATAATTAAGAGTGTAGAATTGGTAGAATAAAAAAATAAAACAAGAACTTAAAATAGCACACAGGAAAGTGACAAGATTACTGAGTGTTTACATATTCACTAGCTGCTGCAGCACCACATCCTGTTGCGTTCCAAAACTATGCTATAAACCTTCCTTTCCACATCCCTCATCACGGTTTTCTCACATAGTAAGTGACAACAGTGTACTGCTGCAGAGAAACGTATGATTTAACTGCAGCAATTCAACAGAAGGCAAAATTCCATCTGTCACTGACATAAAATCTATCCATCTTCAAACAACTGATTCAGTAAAGCAAGACAGTTAGCTTGCATTACCAAGAATGTCCAGCCCTTTTACAGTCATCAACCTTGCTTAAGAAAAAGACTTTTCATGTGCTTGATTAAAGAGAAATGCATAAAAACTGAGGACAAAATCTGTAGGAAGTGGATGGTCTTTGAAATATACAGTAAATAAAATCTTGGTGTAAAAACATATACAAAATCAGTATACCCCTTTACTGGGTCTGGCTGGGATGCAGTTAACACTCTTCATAGCAGCCCATATGGTGCTGTGTTTTGGATTTGTGGCTCCAACAGTGTTGGTAACACATCGATGTTTTGGCTATTGCTGAACAGTGTTTGCACAGTATCAAGGCTTTTTTTTTCCCCTCCCACTCTGCCCTCCCCACAACCAGATGGGCAGGAAGTTCAGAGGGGGGATGGCCAGAACAGCTGACCCAAACTAAGTAAAGGGATATAAAGCAATAAAAACTGGGGTAGAGGAAGAAGTGCGTGCATGTGGGAGGGTGTCTTCCAAGGTGGCTGTTGCTTGGAAACTGGTTGCACATTGGTCTGCTTGTGGGAGGTGGTAAGCGATTGCATTTGCGGCAGCAGGGTTTTTTTCCCCCCTTTGCTTCACTTACTAAACTGTCTTTTTCTTGACCAACAAGTTTTCTCACCTTTGTTCTTCCTATTCTCTCCCCTATCCTGCTGGGGGGTGCTGGTGAGCAAGCGGCTCTGTGGGTACTTAGCTGCTGGCTGGGGTCAACTGACCACAACCCTTTTCATCAACAAACCGAGATTCACTTATTTAATTTTCCTCTTTCCTAACAACATCTCCATCTACAAAGAAACTTACCTAAAATCTTGTTGATAAACTGAGGTCTCCTTGATGCAGGTAAATAGACTCCCAAGAAAAACACTGGAATTCCAGATAAAGCAATGGCAATTCCAATCAATGAATTTATAGTGTCGCTATAGAGTGGCACTACCACCAGAAATACTGTGCATATACAGAATATTATTGGGAAAGCCACACTCAGCTGGAGACGGAAAAAACCAGAACAGAATGTTACTGAAATATTTGTTGTCTACAGTTATAAATGTTTTGGTGAGAATTACAGACTTTTCTCTCTCAACTCCACTTTGTGGAATTATCTGCTCTTTGTCTTATACATCTGGCTATTTGGAACCATAAGCAAATAGCAGAATAATTCTTGAACAGAACTGCTGTTAAAAATTGCAGAAGTAATCAAGTATGGTAACTCTGCTGTGTTGAAAGAAACTGTATAACAGTATGAAGTGTTTTTAGACAAATCCAATAAATCCGAGGAAACAAGAATGACATTTTCATGTAGCATATCAACTTTTAAGTATGAGAAGATGGTAAGAGGATCAGATATTGAACTGAAACACCATCACAGCTACACGTGGTCCACACTGACAGAATTAATTAACTTAAGCTTTCCTAATTTGATATTTCTAATCCAAGAAAAAAGGCTAACTACTATGTTAGCCTATTGAGACATTCTCCATTGACAGAGAGAAGGGCTACTGATTGAACTAACGTACAATAAAAGAGTATATTATTACAATAATAACTTATTCTTATCTAGCAGACAAGCTAGTTTTCATGGTACAACATAAAAATGAAAGCCATGTTTTGTGTCCTGATCAATTTGTAACCTTCAGGCATAACATGTAGGGTCCAGATTTTAGACAGTACTTTTAATTTAGGTGGAAGAGAGGGATTTCAAACAATTCTGTAATAAGTAAATATTACCTTAAGAGGCCTGGGTCGATCTGGTTCCTTCCAACGTAGATATAATTGCCCAGCAATAGACAGACCAACAAAAAACCAGTAACTGAAACTGAAGTAATTAATAAGCTTGAAGACATCTTCCACAGCCAGGTAAATAAGGGTCATAGCACACTGTCAGAAAAGAACAGGAGTGAGATGAACAACAGAAGTTTGAAACTTATTGTTTATGCTGCTTTTTGCATGAAAGTAACACCTTTTACTCCTTGGTGTTTGGCATGCCTCTCAAAATTAACTCTTTCAGAAACCACCTCAATGACAGTAAATCTGAAGTTCTCTCCTGTGCTTTTTTGAAGTCTACCTTTAAATAATTCATATAGTCACATCTGAACAGCTGAAAAGAAAAGCAGTAATAACTTACGTTGAACAGCAGAGCTGGCACAGGTGTGAACCTCCCTATGTGGATCATAGACAACAGATCAGGAAGGTGACCTTCCCTAGAGCCTACAAAAAATAGCCTGAAAAACACGTATCAGAAAACAGATGTTGAGGCCACAGGTGAGAGAGAATGTATTACAGAAAATCAAACAACAATACCAGTCAAAATAAGTATTTACACCACTGAATTTCCATCCTTCAAACTGAAACATGGATTCAACCCTTCCAGTAAAGATGTACTGTACAACAACCATTAGAAGATATAGAAGCTATTAGAAACATGCTGTTAACACCCGTTTTTAGAAAACAATCCTACAGGTAAAATAGAAAATATCTACAGTAACTGAAATAAATTTCTATTTTTTTAAAAAATTCTAAAAGCTAGCACTGAAAACATTCCAGCTTATAGCAGAACAGTTTTCAATGCCAACCAGAAGAGATCACCAGGTCTCTAAAAAGAGGTCACTCAACCACATGCTCAAAAAACAAACACACATAATTTTATTATCAACTGCAAATTTTTCTATATTGACTGCTTCACCAGATCATGTTCATATTTGTTCTCAGTACACAGGCATTGCACATACATTCAATGGGCAGGAAGGATGTTAAAATGCCTGAATAAAGCTATTTAAAACTTTCACTAGTCACATCCATAATCGGTGCTCAGAGGAAAGCTTCTATACTGTACCCTAAGCTTTTTGACTGCAGCTTAATAGCAGTAGCAACTTTTAAAACTTTTTACTTGGAAGAAAACTTAAAGATACTGATTTTAAAAAGTCAGTAAGTTTTAAGCAAATACATTTGAAAACAAGAATTTGCTAGAATTACCGTACCAAGTAAAATGGAAGATAACTCAATCCCAATAATCAGAAGGCCTGAGGGCTCACCACACAGACAACATTCATTTGATCTTTAACTGTACTCTGCATACAGCTAGGAACACTTTGGGGAAGTAAGGCAGTGTTAAGGGTGTATGTACACACACAGAGGTTTATTTAGGTCTGTTATTTTATTGTGGCTATTCATTATAGGTTCGGTTACAAAAGTATTTTTGCCACTCATAATAGATGAGCATAACAGTAACATGTAAAAATACTTATGAACATTTGTCAAACAGAAAGAGATATGCACTACCTTGATGATGCTAGAATTGAAGCATTAAGTCCACCAAAACAAGAAAAGGCTACAGCAATGGGAATTGTCCAGCTGAAGATACCAAACACCTGGTCAGCAAATGTCTAATGAAAGGGAACAGAAAAAGGAAACATGAAAGCATCTGCAACAAAGCATATGTAAAACAATGACATCAAAGCTTTTGTAATAAGTTTGTGTGGAAAAATAGTATTATAGTAAGGACAATCCATAATGCAGCACAAAGAAGCACACAGCTTTTTTATTTATTTATGGATTCTAAATAAGGACAAACTTCTTTAGCCAAGCACCTGAACTCACATTTTCTGCTCACAAAATTAATGCTCACAAAGGAAAACAAAATGTTTTTAGAATTTTCTCACCAATCCTCATACCTTTTATTATCTAATTGAACTACAGAACTCAAGTGTAACATAGTGACTACAGAGAATAAAGGACAAAAATATCATTACATATCCAAAAAGGGAAGTGCCATATTGCAGATGATAAACACAGCCACCATCACACCTACTGTTTATAGAGACTATTCTAGGAGTCTATTATATTTTCCTTCTTTTTCAATTTTCTAAGCAACATCATCTTTTCCTTTAGCTCCACCAGCAGGGCCTCTGGGCTCTACCCTCACAACATGGCAAACGACAGACCAAGTATCTTATTAGCATTCATTTGTTAATGTTGCTAGACAATACTGCAGGCCAACTGTGGTGACTTTCCATCATAGAGCTCTGAAACCAAGAAGCCAGAAGCATCAAAGTTTCACAGCAAGTGGTAAGAGTCATCGATTGCCAGTGATCTGGGACCTATAATGAAAATGGGTAATAATAATTTGCAAGATATTGTCCTGGTCAATTCTGTGCAGCCTCCTGGATGGAGAAAAAAGGGAGAAAGACTTAGAATATCAGACAACATGTTTGAAAGATCAAGAAATTTAACACATTAAAACTGACAGCTATTCTAAATCCCATCTCGGTCTGAGCATTGTACATGTCTGAACATTAGCATACTTGGAGTTAAGCAGAAATCCACTCATGCTGTGTTCAGAGGACGTGGGTGGAAGCCTTCCTATCCCAATTCTACCTACTGATAGCTAAATTACTTCCATGATTTCTTTTACAGAAGCAAACTAACAGTGATGGTAGCAAAAGGATCATGTCTACATTAGACAGCATGAAATCACTATTTATAGAAACAGAAAGGTATATACTTATGTATAAGTGGTATTCAAACAAACCCCAAAGATTTTGTGGGCATTAGAACATTTTACACCTCAGCAGGTAGCAGTAATCTAAACCTTTTTATGAGCTGTTCTCTAAATCACTTTCTTAGCTCTCTTGCTTTATCAATTTCAAGATCCTCAGACATAAAAAGCATATATACTAGTTCGGCTTTCTGCAGGTCTGTCTTTTCTATTGCAGAAATTTTCTTCAGTTTTTAATATTTTAGTATTTTGAAACACCTCCCCCTTGACCTCTCCTTTAAACTATTGGTCTTCACTATAACATTTATGAGCTAAGAAGTTCAATCAAAGTGGATTAACATTCAGAACTGGCCTTTGTTTGTAGCATATAAAATTATCTGGATTTAACAGTGGTCAAATTTTGATTTAATTACTTCAGGAAGAAGATCACCAAAAGCAGTGCATTATGATCTGTTTTCTGAATGTTTCTGTAGGTCAAAAAAGCCTACATGACTTAATACAGATTTTTTTTCATGAAACGAGTGATTGATTTTCATGAGGCAAAACCCTGCATATAATGTCAACCTTTAAACCATAAAATGCAGAAAAATTTACTGACATAAAACAAAGCTTGGCCGGTTAAAGTTTCCTGTTCTTTGTCTGGGTTGACAAAGTGCTTTGTTCAGCAGGTTATCCAGGTTAAGGTTCAGAATCCAACTCTGCTTAGCTGTACACCATCATCTACACTAAAAAGCAAAATTTATTCAAGCCTTTTGTGTAATTTAGTTGAGCCTCAACAAAGGCAGATAGGATTTCCTGCTGCTAAGGGACAATGCAAAAGCATATAATCACTTCAATGGGAACCTTGCCAAAAGGTTCAAAGTCAATGCATTAGCTGTGTTAGTCACCCTGATTCTTACTAAAGCACATCTCTTCCTGAGCTCTTTTAGTTTATACATATTAGTATAGCTTCCCTCAAAATGGAGCTTCAACACAGGGGTGGAAAAATACACACACACAGATTCCCACAGAAATTATAAAAATTAACATGAGAAAAGTATAAAAGAACTAATCCACGTATGAATTCTATTTCATGCTGAAATCAGAACATCGATTTAGCAAAAGACCATGCCATAAGAAATGCATTCTGTATACCACGGATTACCCATTTTCAGTCAATTGAAACTGAACAAGCAACAATTAATTTACATTATTGTATATAAAAGATTTCTGCTGCTCAAGAATAAATAACTACTAGAACCCACAGTGCTTCTCTCAGATCCTTATTGGATCTAAATGCAGCTCTGAGAAACCTGGTCTCCCAAAGCAGAACGTAATTCATAATGATCCAGTGAATGAATTAAGACAACTTCTCCAGAACAAGTAAGAATGAGGACAAGATGAAAATTCTAATAGGCAATTGTTGTAATATTTTAAAGGATGATTTAAACCTGGACTGCTGATTTCTGAAGCCAAACAGCAAGTGAAATTATTAGACACCAAACTTAAAACTGCTAGAGGATTTTTGTTTAAATATACAAAGCTAAGATACAGAACTCACTCAACAAGATGTTAGAGAATTAAGATGTTTAGTAAGGTTGCCTAAAGGATAAGCACTTAGGTAAGTAATATTAACAGCTAAAGTTAAAGAAGAGAGAGAAAAATGTATGAATGTAATCTTATGCTGCAGGATGCAAAGTAGCTAACGTCATTTGGAGAAACTTTTTCCCTCAAAAGGCAGGTTGGCATTTGTTCTTTGCAAGCATTTCCCATTTCCTTTTGAAACACCTAGTAATGGGCCAATGTGGAATGCCAGATGTGGGACTAACTCAAAGGCCATTTCCATCCTATAATGTATACCCAATCTTTCTAAGATACGCTAATGTTATTTCACACATCCTGGAAAACAGCAATCACTCATATGAGCAGTAAAAACCACAAAGAGTTAAGGCAAAACTATGGTATCACTGCCACAAATTATACACAGATCAAGACGTTATAGATTCAACGTATTCTGGATGCAAGCTATATGATGTATAACAACTGTTGATCCAGCTCAAAGTCAAATAATTAATTTCCCTAGATCTGTATGAGTCAGCCTCTTCAAAAGAGAGAATAACCTAGTGATAGTCTTTACTAAACACTGTCATTTCCAATGTACTTTCTAATGTTGTAGTTGGGATTCCTGAGAGAGCAAAGGGTGGAGCATTAACTTCAAGAGCTTAACTTTTCCGTAAGTGAGGTAAGGGAAAACAGTATTTTAAATGAGAATGATCTGGAAAGTTCAGCTTGGCTTGCGAAGTAGATTTGTCTGCAAAATGATCTTTCAGCAAAAAAAAGTTGAAAGGTACCTGAAGGTTGGCTAAACTTTCTAGTGATAATAACTAGCTTAACATGACAAGCATAGACCCACCTGCCTTTATGCAGGTGTTTTCTGACACGGTTTCACCTGCACTTCCAACATAAAAATCAGCCAAGTTCACGTATTACTCCAAGGACAATAAACACACTTTTATACTTCAGAGTACACATTTATAAATCCTTCAACACTCCCATTTTAACAGATACCAAGAAATGTCTTCTCCAAAGCTGAGCTATACTCTCTTGTGATCAATGACAAAACCAAAGATCTCTACAATGTTTCTTGCAGCAAGTGTTACTGAAGTGTAAGTAAAGTGGCCACAATAAGCATTCAACTGTGTGCATGTCAGAGGGTTATTTTGCATAAGGAAAGAAGGGCAGACAAAAGTGCAAAAAGCAATCAAGTTATCAAGCACATACACCACGTGCACTGTACCAAGAGAAAAAAAAAAGGGGAGGGAGAAGAGTTAGTGGCTGCTTTCTGCTAAAACCGCAATTGTACAATCATGGATCCTCCACAAATAAGCTAGACCTGGGCTCTGATCTGAGCACTTGACCAATTCCACTTCAACTACCACTACTTCTGGGAGTAGTGAAGTGCATTTATAAAAACAAATGAGCTGGCAACAGGGGAAAGAATGGAGCATTTGCAAGGGTATGCGGAGGATGACAGAGGAGCCTACCTGGAGGCAGCTATAGCAGAAGCATTTAGTCCACCATAACAGGAGAAAGCCACCACTATGGGGATGGATTTCTTCTCAGGTTTCTTCTGAGAAAGTCTAAAGAGCAAGAAGGATTAAGAGATTAAATTATCATCTCTGCTATAGTCTGACAAGTCCTGTAGTCCAGACTTGAGCTATAACTGCTTCTAACAGCTAGGAAACAGTAAGAGAATTCAGTGGCTGATACAGCACTTGCAATTACAGATAAAGTCCTTTTATGCCCTCCCGTCCATTGGACATGTAAGATATACATATATACACACACACTGTAGAAAGACACGCACCTGGAATTGTTCCCCTTAGTTCGTTTTTTTTTTTTCCCAAACCATCAACAGGGAATAATAATGAAGGAAGAAGCTTCCAGCCATGCGCTTCTCAGCTGAACTGCCCTCCTTTCGTCATGACTAAAATGTTACATTACTCCCAGAAGAATGGTCAAAAACTGAATTACAGCTTTGTTTCAAGACATGAATGACTGATTTAACTACATTTTATTTTTATCTTGGGTTAGTTTGATCTCATGATCATCAGCTGGTAATTTGTGAATGGTTTGCAAGAACACTTTTTTTGTCCTTTTAAAGGTCCAAGCAACAGTTCTATACAAACAGGTTGAACTAAAAGCAGCAGGAGCTGCCCCACATAAAGAGCTGCCACAACAAAATACACAGGACACTGCCTCACACCCAGTAATTCAGGCACACAGACGATTAGAAAGACCCACATTTATGTTACGAATCACAAGATGAGAACCGTTTCATCACACTTAGCTGCACACAAAAAGTGCACTTAGAGGTACACAAAAAATGTCAGACTACACTGAGAGCAT